TGTTCCACCTGCGGGCTCCAGCTGTCCTTCAGGATGGGCTTGACCGCGCTGATGAACTGCACTCCGACGTACTGGGCAAACACAAGAGAACCCGTTTCTCAGCCACAGCGCCGGCTGGCGAAGCCGCACTTTAGAAAAGGGGTTGCTAATATAATTTATAATATAGTGCTAATAAAAACATATTCATAAAACGTTAGGAGTGAAATAAATGTGATCATAATCGAACTCTATATTAATTGCACCTGTATTAAAAACAACTAATCCAGGCTGATCCACAACTTAAACACTAACAGTGTGTTAGAATTGTTTAGAGCATCTTAAACAACAGATATCTGCTTGTTCTAGTCACAAGAGATTAAAAATACTTGCTTCATGCTCATGGTAGTAATACCCCTCCTAATAACAGAACACCGTGCAGGACTGCTCTTCAGTTCTGTCATGTTCTTTATCTTATGCATAATTCTGTCTATTTGCATCGTGTGGTGGACAGGGAGTACAGGAGATCTCCTTCCCAGTATACAGTGTACCCCCCCCCCAGTCTCAGGAACGTCTCCCCCGCAAAGCAGGAGGACTGGGAGCACAGGAGACAGACTGGGATGGTGGAGACAGAGCTGACAGATGCGTATCTATAGCCTGGAAGGGAACTGTCTCCCAACACTCTCTATCCCACAGCGCACTGGTAACAGGACAATTGAAATGCAGGACCGAGGAGTGTCAGTACCATTCCATAGAGTGTCATAGAGTACCTCGAGTGAAATCCTCACACACGAAACCCGTCTGTGGTTCTAAAAGGGGTACCTCATAGTATTTTGGGGGTGCATTATAGCGGCAGTGGCACTTCCCCAGTTCCAAGGCAATCTGCTCCAGCTTGTCTTCCTGAGCCAGTCGCGCGACACTCTTCTCGATGAACGACATCACCCTGCCGAGAGAGGAGACGCAGTGAAGCTCCAGCTCACCTCCCCCTCCTCTCCGGAGACTCCCAGCCACGGGACCCCCACATGGGTACCTGAGGCCGTGCGCCTGCAGCTCCTTGCTCATTTTCAGCTCCTGGAGGTCGTCGATCTCCCGGAAGATGAAGAAGACGTCCTTGCACTCCGGATGGGTCTCGAACAGCCTGGGAGGGACACGGGCACAGGAGGAGCTCACTGCTTCGCCTGAGCCTTGTCCCGACTACAGTGGGGTCAGTTTCATAGCTGAGACCCTCCAGACAGGCCTGTCACCCTGTCAGAGGAGGAGGAAACTGGGGTGCTTGGAGAAATCCCATGCAGACTCAGGGAGACCATGCAGACTCCACACAGACAGGCACCTGCACCTGCAGACAAACCCAGCACCCCAGAGCTGTGGGACCTCACTGTTAACCACCACTTCTCCCTTTCTGTTATCTTCCACTATTTCACTATTAAAAATATTTAACACACCCGACACACCTGAAGAAGGCTCCACAGACGAAACGTTGTGTTTCTTTACTTCTCTTTTCTGCAGGGAATAAACCTTTACTTGTTATTTAACACATGGCTACACAGCCCAGGTCTGTCCTAGACTGTGCAGTGGGATGTGAACTCCAACAGGTCTCCTCAAATGTTGTTTTTCTGTGCTGCTGATTACCAACTTCAGCACAGGCAGCCAAATTCATTCATACTGTATATACAGTAGCATCCCTTGAATAAAAGGCTTGGTGCTTTAACCACATCGTACGACACAAAAATACCAAGGAGTAAAAAAACTGGTTTGATTGATTGAGTGAGTGATTGATTTAAAAGGTCAGGATATGCCACAGGTTATGTTTCTTGGGACAAAAACAAGAAACATGATGATAGAGCATTATGTGCTACACTGTTTCCCAGTGTGGTCAAGATCGATCTTGCGTGTAAAATCGGTGCTATAATCTCTTTACCCAGCACGCCCGTCATTCCCTGGCTGAATTCACTAGCACAGTACTAATGTGAACACACACACATCTACAGCTGCGATGTCCTCAGCAAAGTGGGCATGAGTGTCACTGTGAGGGAGGACGGGAGCGACAGTTACGAGCCCGGTTCTTTCTCTCCTACCTGATGAACATGATGATCCCTAACCGGGCGATGTCCTGATGCACGACCTTCCAGGACTCCCGGATCAGGTCCTTCTGGGACTCTGTCAAGGGAACTGGCTCCGACTTCAGGCGGAATCCGGGACCCCTGGCGCCTCCGATTTCGGAACCTCCAGCGGACGCAAAAGTGGACTCCGCCGCGCGATCTCTTTTGGACCCGGCCGAGTCGGGAGCCGACGCTCCCGAACTCACTCCGCTTCCGGACAGCGCGCACCCCATCGCGATCCGACCCTGGACTCCGACAGCGCACCTAGGGGAGACCTTTTATTCGGATTAAACTGGGCGCCGGGGTATAACTGATGCTGATGGCTTGAACTGTTCTTCCGTGGCGTCCACAGCACCGCCAAGAGCGCTGTGAGAGATGTTCACCTGCCCCAGAACCACCTCCCCAAAGAGAGCAGAAACTCTCCACGACGGGGACTTCAGAGAGCACCCCGGCTGGAGCCGGACTGAACAGCCCGCTCTTACACAATTTTCGCTCGCTTGCCGCCCGCTAATAATCACTGTTAACAGCTGATACACGGCGAGCTCTCATCCCTTATGAGCGAAGCACGATTTGTTCAGAAACGTGAGAAGGATCTCTTCCGTTTGCCTTCCGCGATTGTTTTATTTTTCATGGAAAAGAAATTGGGAGTAATTTTTTTTTGTTCTCCCGTCGGCAAACTAATGTCTTTGACGCGCGGGCGACGCGACGCGAATGAGGTGGAAGCCGAGAGCCCCCTCCCCCCCCTTCAAGGGCGCGGGACGCCCCCACCTGTGCGTGGTCCCCCAGCCCCCGCGCGCTGGGAGGACCCGAGCAGCTCCCCAACGCCAACATCTCCTTCGCCAATGTCAAGAGCCAAAGAGCGGGTCTATCGTTCACGCAGAATGGCTTCTGGAAATAATCCCCGCCGATATCCGTGCGCTTCTGCCGTTGTGCCACTTTTTTATCTGATTAGATATCACAACACAATACAATAATTATAACAATTGCTTACACTTATATAGCGCTTTTCTGGACACTCCACTCAAAGTGCTTTCCAGGTAATGGGGATCCCCTCCAACACCACCAGTGTGCAGCCCCACCTGGATGATGCGACGGCAGCCATAGTGCGCCAGAACGCTCATCACACATCAGCTATCAGTGGGGAGGAGAGCAGAGTAATGAAGCCAATTCATAGATGGGATTAATAATCAATTCATAGATTATTAGG